ACGTGGGGACGGCGATGACAGCCTCCGAATCGGCCGGGAAGTGCTGAGCAGCTGGCTGACAGAACGCAGCAGCTGGATCCGCGGTTTGGGTAATGGGAACTTGAACCCAGAACGTTGCAGCTGTGCTTGCAGGCAATTGCAACCACTGCTGCAAAAATTAACGAAACCAAAGCCTAAACCCCCAACAGACCCCAAACCCAAACTCATGAACCCTCAACTGCTAGACGTAGCAAAGACCTCTGTATTCCTAGCACCCCTTCCGGTAAGCCTTAAAGAACCCTCGCACAAAACCCAACTTTGAACCCAAGACCCACCAAAAACCCAAAACCCAAAACTCAAAACCCCAAATCCCCTTCCGGTAACCCTAAGGGTCCATGTGCCCAAATAGTATATACTTTGGCCCCAAGGTACCAAGTACCTATAGAGGGACTCCTTTAAAGGCCAAAGTATATACTATTTGGGTACATGGGCCCTGAAGACCCTAAACCCATATAGTGCCCTTAAAGGAACCCTTCAAGGAACCCTAAAAGGAGCTCTTAAAGGAACCCTTAAAGGCTACATGGACCCTTCGGCTAACAGCACCATGCCACCTCCCAGGCTTAAACCCAAAACCCAAAACCCCTAAACCATAAACCCTAAACTTGACCTAAACCCCAAACTCAAAACCCCAAATTCCCTTCCGGTAACAGCACCAAGCCACCTCCCAGGCTTCTCCGAAGCCATAGCCATTGCCTCGTCAAGCAGACGCCATCTCCAACGTTTTACGGTTTAGGGTTTAGGGGTTTAGGGTTTAGGGTTTAGGGGTTTAGGGTTTAGGGTTTAGGGGTTAGGGGTTTAGGGTTTTTCTTGACCGTGCAACACAAGGCTCCCAATCCCGAAGGGTCCATGTACCCAAATAGTATCTACTTTGGCCATAAAGTAGTCCCTATATAGGTACTTTGGGGCCAAAGTATATACTATTGGGGGTACATGGACCCTGAGAGAATGCAGGGGGGTTTAGGAACTTGAGGGTTCGGGTTCAGGGTCACCCGTGGGGCATAGGGGATCCCTAGTGGGTTTTAGAAGTTGGTCCAGGGTCGGGTTTGTGAGTTTGTAGTAGGGTTTATTGAAAGTTTTGTTGGGGTTTAGAGATGTTGGCATGGCTCTATAGGGGGGTTTAAAGGGTTCAACGGGCTTGGTGGGTTCCCCAAGGGTTCAGAGGGTATGTGAATGCATTGTTCGCCGGGGCTTTGTAAGGGGCCGCCTTAAGCGAGCTTCCACTGGAGCCCAATTACCTATCCAGTGCGTTACTTTTCAATAACAAAACGAAGCCATAGTAACTACCCATAACCTCGCCACCCTCCTCAGAAACTAGAACAAGATCTTGGAGTAGACACAAACACACCTATAATGGACCGTATGTTTTGTGTGTGTTAAGGTTTTTGGGGTTTAGGGTTTAGAGCTTAGGGGCTTGATTGTGCTATGCGCAAATTCCCCAGCCTTCCCACCAAGACCGGGTGAAGCAGAGCGTGTTCTCCTGAAGCGTGTGCGGGAGCTGTTTTAGGGATCCGAGAAGTCCTAAAAAGCCTCTTTTTGTCTAGGGTTTAAGGCTTCGGGTCTCCATTAATGTAGTTATTTAGTTGGCTCATAAGCCACATCGATTTTACTAGGGCCTTACAACGTAAATTCGAAAAAGGAGACTACAAAGGAGACTATGCGTAAAGCCTGAACCCTGTATCCGAAAGCCTAACACCCAATGCCCCCACCCCAAAGCCTCGACGACAAGCCCTAGTTACACTCTAAATCGTATATACTTTTGCCTTCAAGTAGGCCCTATCTAGCTAGTTGAGGACCAAAGTATCTACTAGTTGGGTACATGGACGTCCCTATCTAGCTACTTGAGGACCATGCAAAGTATCTACTAGTTGGGTACATGGACCCTTAATGTACACGTACAAAGGGCCCTGAAACTTAGGGTTCGGGCTTGGGTGTTGGGGTTTTACCCTAAGGCTCTTGTTGCTGTTATGGACTTTCTAGAGGAAGGTTTGGGCTTTCGGGGCTAAGGTTTGGGCTTTCACTATGGGGGGTCAAGGAGCCCTAGGGTAGGGTTTAGGCCGCAAAACCATAATGTCGAAGCCTGAAGACTACGACGTGGGCTGGAGGTTTGAAAAGCGTTCCGGGACGCATAGGTTTGGGGTAAGTTATGGTAGAACTATGCAATGGACTATACGAAGGGATGATGGCTTTAGGGTTTAGGATTTAGGGTTTAGGGGAACTTATGTGTTTCTTCAAACCTTAAGCCCGAGTGGACAGACGAATCCTAAGTCTGACTCGCAACAGCAGGATGTCCGAAAGCTGCAGCACCGCGTCTTGTTGCGTATTTGTGCTCCGGCTGTAATTCCGAATACAGGATTCCATACATCAGCAGTAGGGATCACTCTGTTAGGTCTTGATTGACTTGAGGGTTCTGGCTGCAACTGTAAGGTCTAGGATGGAGGGGGGGGCATTAAACTTCACACTCGCCGATCCTGCAGTGGTGTCAACAAGTACCAAAATCACCTGGTAGTCCCTATCAGTCTACTATACTAAAATACAAACATGCTGTAGCAGTACTATACGAATACAGCAAAACTGTACGAGTAACAATGCCAATTATTGTCTACCCCCAGTATCAGGATGCTGGCAAAGCACAGGTGCCGCTACCCAGACCCCTAAAAAGATAAACCCTGAACGCCCCCAAAGGATCATACACAAATCTTGCACTCGCGGTTGCCTCTTGTGTGCTTCTTGGTGTTTCAGGTCGTGGGGCTCAGATTCAAGCCCGCAATCCCAAATCAAACTCCTGCACCTTATGCTCAACATTTAGGGTTGAAGGGTTCCGGGTGTAGGGTTGTAGGGTTCACAAACCGCAAATCCTAACCCCTTAAGAAAGAGTTTAGGTGTAAACTAGCGGGGTTAGGGCTCAGGGTTCAAGCAAGCAGCGAACACCAGCGGTTCGAGACCCGCTGGTCGCACAGTGAGCTCCTGCGTGCAGGCTGTCTGGGTGTAGGACTTGGGACTTCGGGTTTAGGGCTTTAGGGCTTAGAATTTTAGGCTTTAGGGTTTTAGACAGGGTTTAGGGCTTTAGGGTTTTAGGATTTAGGGTTGTAGGGTTTAGGGTTATGGGGCTTTAGGGTTCAGATGAGCTTAAAGCAGAAGCCAGAAAGTTGGAACATCATCATCCTGGCACCCTTAACGGTAAAATAGAAGGGACCTTTAAGGTAACATAGAAGGGACCCTTAAGGTAACATAGAAGGGCATAGAAGGGATCCTAGCACTAATCATCCCAAGACCATGTTCCAACTTTCTGGGGCTCGCTGTAGGGTTTTAGGGCTTCGTGATTTCAGGTGAAACCGCTGGAGGAAGTTTTGCATCGGCTTACGTACCCCAAGGTATAAGAAATATGGACAACCCTAAACCTTGGAGGTCTGCTCTATCAGGTTTGGGGGGGGTGTCTTTAGGCTATATCCCCTCAGGTAGTTACCACTTACTTCCGTGCTTAGTTACCACTTATCTGTGCCACAGTTACCACTTAACTTTGTCCTAGTTACCACTTAACTTTGTCCCTAGTTACCACTTAATCTTGCCTTGGTTACCACTTAACTTTGCCTCTAGTTATCACTTAACTCTGTCTTATTCTGTCTAGCAATTTTCGAAGCTCCACCTCCGAAGCCACTCCGACGAGGCCGGTGCACGCTGGCTTGTTGCTCGAGAGCAGCAAGAGGCCCTAAACCCCTATCTTCAAATCTCAGATGAAAACCTTAAGCCTGAACCGAAACCTAAACCTTTTCCTAAACCCCTAAACCTTAAACCCTCGGCAAACCTTGCCTGTCAGGCACTCACAACAGGACGAAAGTAGTGCAGTATAGCCTCTCTAGAATTTAGTAACAATTTATGATAATGTATATTTTAAGGCGGCTTTTGCTGAGAATTAAGAAACTCTCTCTCTTCTGCATGTCCTTGCATGATGGATTTCCTCGCTTTGCTGGAAAATGACTCGGCAGATGCGGCTGCTGACGAGGATGGCCATGCACATCTCGCCTTAGCACCTGTAGAATCTGCAGAGCGGAACGACTTGCCTCAGCAGTCAGATGCATTGGTTCCCGTACAGAGAGGAGGCTTTCAACGACGTTCAATTTTTCCTTCGTTGGCCGGGCGAGTGGGGCGGGGCAGACATGGTGGGTTTGCTGAGCGAGCTTTACTTACATGCCATATGCGTATCTTTGACTTGCAATTACTTGCATCATTCGGTAATCGGGTAGTCTCTCCAGTATTTCTGGTTTTAGAACTTATAGTCCTCAATCCTTTTTTTCACATACCAAGGTTCTGTAAAGCTGGCAAGACGAGTGGAAAACTTTTCCCAGACAGTATCAGAGCTTCTGCAGGATAGCCACTTCGTGCATGAATCTCGTGTCCTTCAGGTTCGGGTCGATCGCTCTAAGCGGGCAATCGGCATTGCACTGGAGCTTACCAGAGTCCGCCAAAGAGGCAATCGTTTCAAGCGAAAGCTGCTCTGGGGACAGTTCTTGGCGGCTTCATTCGCAAGGATTCGTTGCAATTCTTTTCTTGCTGAACATCTGGACGTGAGTAGGTCCACTGTGAAACACATGCAAATCACGGTTGCCTCTGCCTTTATGAACCAGCAGGCGCTTTTCGTCGCGAGACTCGTGTCGCTGTGCAGTTCGAAGCCACCACTTTTTTTCTTGAAACATGTCAAATGGGACGAGACGCAGCTTCTTTGCACGATGAATGCAGACAAGTCTTCGCAGCGAGTGAGAAGTAGCTGGCAAGTCATGGTGGTTCGTATAAGACTAGTTCTTGTCTGGGAAGATGGTTCTAATATGGTTGTTCGGTTGATTGTACCGCCGGCGAGCCTTCTAGCGACGGGAGCAGAGCACCAGTACTATGCCCTTTCATACCATCCTGCATACAAGTGTCTCAACGGTTTGCTGGGCCTCTTACGACAACAAGCTGAAGAAAACATGGACTTGGCAGAGACAGACGGAGCATCCAGCAACAACCGATTGATCGCACATTTGATCCAACAGGCGAAAACAACATGTCTTGGACGTGGTTCTTCTGGTTCTGCGGCTCACCCGCTTTTGTTGGCCCATTGCAGGTGCATGAACCATGCAGTGCAATTGAATAGTGCCGGAATCCTCGGGACAGTGAGTGCCACTTTGCTCAACAGGGTTTATGGGATGACCATTTTTATTCGCAATCTGGGTTATTGGTTGCGAATCAGACAGGCGATCAGAACTTGGGTGGGTGAGAACCTGAGATTTCGGCCTGAAGTTCCCGCGGCCGCCGCCAATCTTGCAGAGCACGTGCAGCCACACCCAGCCCTCCATGAACTGATAGCCTATCTTCGTATGTGGAAGAAGCTTGAAAAACGGAGTGCGAAGGCCGAAGATGACCGGCCACAGGTCGATGAGGACGAGGACGAATCGAATTTCGATCGTAAGGCGGCTGCTTTCCTGGATATGTGGAATGGTAATGTGGCAGACGGTCCTTGTCATATATGCTCTTGCCCCAACATTCCGTATGGCCATCGTCATTGTGTGGACAGGGCCGCAGCCGTGAAGAAGTGCAGCGACACCCTGCTTGATCTTTTTGTGCATGCGATGCCCGGTGTTCCATCTCCCAGCAAATGGACAAAACTACATTCGCCTTTGGATTTTTGCTTAGCGGGCACAGTTGTGCACAATTGGCTTGAACATGCGTTCCGGAGTGCATTCTCGGATATGGTATTCCAGGAATTTCCGGATAGCGAAGCTGGAACAGATCCTCGCTTAGTCGAAGCCCTGTCGTTTCATGCAGTAAATGGTCGCCGGTTTCAGTCATCGATGTCGTTCTTGCAGAACACACATGAGAAATGGGCTGTGAGTCTTTTGGCAGTGGCATTAGAACCGAATCGTGTTCTGACGTACTACTGGCTGAGTTGCTTGGGCCAATCATTGAGCCCCCTTGAAAGGCCCCCTTTGTACTGTTTGTTGGATCCGAGCAGCAGTGTTTTGACGAGCCTTCTACAACACTGCAGTGCACTGCTTGCTTCGGAGAGTGGGTCTGGCCGGGTCCGCTTGTTGTGGACTACTTCGGGGTACGATAGTTACGATCGCTTCTGTAGGTGCGAGCCGAACCGAGTCCGCGAGATTCGCAGGATCATGTTGTTCACATCTTGCTGGATTTTTCGTCGGCATTACGAGTATCTGCATTCAGATTCCTTTCTTATTGCCATCGTTGGAGACGAGCAGGCCGATCCTCAGGTATTGTCTTCGTTCCTTTCTTCTTGGAGGGTTAAATCATGGTGCTGTGTCCCACCGGGTTTGGCACGGGCCCTCAAAGCGAGACATGTGACAGCAGAAGATCTTCAGACATCCCGTTGGAAGAAGATACTTTTTTGGTTTGCTGCGACATTGCAGCTGAGCATCGCTGACGTGGAAGTGAAACATGCGGCAAATCGCTCTAATGCGGAGAGCGGATTTAGCACCATCGCCGCGAAATTTGTAAATTCGGACTCGCATCTGGTTGCACGTCAGGCTCGGCAAAAAATTTGGCCTAGCAAGGGCAAGGATGAAACTGCAGATATCGAAGATGTCGGGAAAGATGCCCTTGTTATGGACAAGACAAAGCGAAGAGCCAAGGGCCGATCAGCATTGGAGTTGTTTCGTAAGGATTGGTTGCATAGACGTCGCATGTCCGAAGCCATCAATCCGGCGACGAAAGCAGTGTGGGATGAAGTCCGTGCGGGTTGGAGGGAGCTGCCGGATGAGCAGAAGCAAGTGTACACTGCAATGGCTGCTTCTAGTGGAGAAGCTGCAGCTTCTCAAAGGCGACAAAACCGCGGTGCAACTTCAGATGCTACTGTTGGCGAGCGAGGCACAGGACTGAACTTGTGTAAGCAGTATTACCACTCTTGCACACCAAAGCTGTTGAATGCAGTTCCTTTCCAGCAACATTTGGAAACCCCAGATTTGAAAGCATTGCTGTCCCCGTTTCCTAAGAACGAGCCCCCCACGTGCAAGTTCGGCAAACACGGATATCCTGTTTCAGAAGCATCCCTGAGTCGAATAGCAGAAGTGCAGCGGCAGAAGGGGATTTCGGCGAGGCAGGCCGAACATCACTTCGACCAGGAAAGAGAAAGGATGGCCCGCCCTCCAGATTCGGACCACTTTCCTGAGAGGGTCATCTATGAGAGTCATTGTGGGTGCCAGCGCCGGCATACCGGCGAGGACAGACGAATCTTGTCTCTATCTTATGCTTTGAAGGAAACGAGTCCCGAAAATAGCTTAAGCAGCTTAAGCCTTAGTTGTCGAAACCCGAACCCCGGAAATAGTGAGTTTATGTCGCCAAAATCCGAGCCCAAGTACTTGAATATTTCAGCCGGATACCCACAGCTGAATGCATAGGCTTAGGGTTGTGGCTTGGTTCGACGGATTGGGCCCCATTTTGGATTTATTAATTTGTGGCTTGGAGTGATTTTACAGGGGACATCGACGTCTCCCGAACCCTAGGTGGTGTGTGTGTGTGGGTGTACGTGTAGATATTTCCGGTATATATCTATAATATCATATTATTAGATTATTACAATTATATAATTATATTAATTCTATATTGTATCTGTATTCATGTGGTTGTGGCTTGGTTGGGGGATGTTTGGAGCGATATTTGGAGGGATGTTCATGGGGATGATCGTTCCCATGTTGTATCGATCGCTATGGCCATCCTTAGCGCCTAAAGCCTAAATTACTAATACTAATTCCGAACACGATACCTTCAGAACTAAAGCCCCAGAGTTGACAACAATAGCCCAATATGTCGAAACCCAATCGAATGAAAGCATCAAAGTCCCCAAGCTCCTAAGCCCCAAATGAAACGAACTTCCTTCTCCGCTGAGGAGCCTAGGGCCCCTAAGCCCATAAGCCTAAGCCGAAATGAGACCCCGAACCCAAACTTCAAGCATTTCTCGGCCGTCCCGGCGCCCAGGGATTGCATTGCACATCAATCTGCTCCAGTCCTTCTTGCACATCGTGAAGCAGCTCGGTTCTCCAATGGATGTCGTGCGATCAGATGTTCTGCTGTCCTTTGAGGTGTTATCGAGCACGAAGCGGCATGTGGTTCGGCAATTTGCTTGGGTTTCTGCCGTATCTGCCAGAGCGGGAGCTTTGAAACCAGAACAGACTTTTGTGCTCGCAGAAGTGGGCGATTGTGGCCATGTTGGAGAGGGAGTGCACAGGTTCGACGGCCTTTATCTTGACCTCGCCTTAGAGCCGTATGTGCAATGCAAGAAGGAATATCTGCCAGCCCCTCCTGACGAACCACCCGTTGGCCGCTTGAGAATGTTCGTGTCCGATTCGTGGGCCTTCCACTTGCTCAGTGTGTTTGATGATCATCCTGGTCTTTTTGCTGGGCAAGTCGTGATTAATAAACTTCAGTTCCAAGATTGTACTCCAAGGCGTGTCCGTGTCGTAGGCTTCGATGCGAATTTCCAAAGAGTCTTGGTATCTGCAGACGGCTTTCTGGAAGGGTTGCAACATGATTCTGATGTGCACGAAGCAGCAGATCCAATGTTGGACGGGGCCGGGGATGATGCAGGCCCTTCTGCCGGCAGCGGGATGGATTTCCTTGCTTTGTTGGATGACACTGATACAGGTCCAACCCCGGCACCTGCAAAGCGGCGGAAGAAATCGCAAACTGTCTCTCAAGGGCTTGATGTTCCGCCTGCTCCAGAGAATGCTTCTTTGTTTGCATTATTTCGTCGCTTTAGACATGAACTTTGTGGGGGGTTCGGGCATGAATTTGTGTTTCTTCAGTGGCGGGATTGAATCATTCCACGATTAGACGATTAGGTACGGTATGATGTGGCTATAGTTTCCTATAGGCTCTTATAGGCTATAGGCTATAGGGCTGTAGGCTATAGGCTATGCTATGGGCATATGGGCTATGAAGGGCTATGATGGGCTATGATGATAGACTATGGGCCATGCTGTGGGCCATGGGCCATGGGGTAATAATAAGATTCTGACGAACCAGAGCTTTCAAACCCAGAAATTCCCAAGTTGTGTCGGATGGTTCCCGCCTGAATCTCCGATTTGTGCTCGCTGCCAGCTGTTAACCTATACTCCTCCCAACTGAAACTCCGTTATAGCCGGTCTAGACGGTATAGTCGGTATAGTCTAGTCACGGTCTAGTCGGTATAGTCTGTATAGTCGGTTAGCTCAACGAACTTTATAATATATAAATGTAGAATAGTCCGGTCGTAATATATTAAAAGGGGCAGCTGTCTCATACGACTCTCCAGGATATCTTGGACGACCCAGAGCTACAGGGCATCCTCGGCGCCGACAACATCGTTGAGCTCAAGAGGGCTATCGAAACGTGCACGGCCACAGGGGCAGAGATTGCAAACGACAAATGGATGGATGAGCGAGCAGCACAGGATTCAGATAGCGACATCTTCGATGAGGGCGATTGCAAGGAAGATCCAGATTCGAGAGCAGCCACTACCACATCCCCGGCGACGGCACCGCGATTGTCGACCCCGGCCGCTTCGAGTTCTTCAGCTTCCTCATCAGCAGTGGTCCCGCCGCTGATTGGAGATGGTGCACAGAGCTCTCGTCCACGTCAGGCTTGGCAGCTCCTTAAGATGGATGAAGACGGGGCCAAGATAGAGGTGATGTTCGGTGGCACCGGCACTGATTATTGCTCTGTGCGGAGATCGTTGAATGGGAAAGTAGAGTTGCTCGGCTCCGTGAAGCGGCTTACTAAGCAAACAAATGGTTCAGAAAGCTTGAGAGCTCTCTGCAAGAGACACACAAGATGTGAATGTTGGGTTACCGGCGGAACTACACATGCCGACCTCATTTTGCAATGGCTTGCTGTCGCTCCGAAGGAGACAGTCGAAAGTCATGCCCGTCTTGCTTTGGAATTGAAGCGGTCGGTCGGTATGAAAGTTCGAGGCTGATGCAGCGACTGGTGCCTTCAGAGACAAATCGAGTGGGCTGTGCAGTGACGATAGCGAGTGATGAGCCTTCATATCATTATCTTAACTTTGCACTCTGTTTCTAAGTATTGATGGACAAGACCAGGACGTGACAATCGGACCTGTGAAATAATACCGTAATAATACCTCAACAGCATAGCTTATTTTGAGGGATTATTTTATAGGTCCGGTTGACACGTCTTGGGATCCTGCAGTGCCAACTTGAAGCTTGATATTTATTATGTATTCATAAATCATAAAATGTACTATAGACAACTTATAGACTATAGACAGACTATACTAATTGTATAATCTGTATAATTATACATACTCTAATATACTGTGGTTGTCACAATTAGGGGCCCCTAAGGTAATATGGGATCTTATATATAGATATGACATATACTCTATCATGAAAGGCCTGCTCAATGTGAGTGCTATCATAATAAATCTGTAACTATAGTCTATATTCTATATTACTATATTTAAAGATTTATTTTGATAGCACTCACATTGAGCAGGCCCTTCATGTCTGTGTAGCTACCGTGTAGTCGTGCAGCTGTCCAGTTGGGACGTTGGCCAGGCAGTCTTGCAATGCAGCATCTGATGCCAGGTTCATTTTTTGCTTCTCATGTTAGCGACTTGCTGTGCACGGTTGGAATGCAATGCCCGAAGCCTGAAGATTTGGTGTGTGTCGGGAGCTCCAGGGGCTCCTTTTTGCCTCGTTTCGTCCCAGCCAGTTACCAGTTAACTGGCCGGGGTTAAGTGGTAAGTGGGGGGGGAGGAATTAACTGGTAACCCCCTATACTAGCAGGGATTTACCCACTACTTTCCTGGCCCGGAGTTACCAGTTAACTGGCCCCCCGTAAGTGGTAACTCCCGCCCCAGAATCCGCCGTTCTGTGGAGGCTCTGCTAGCTGTTCCTGGCCGTTTCCCTGACCCCTAGTCTGTGCGGATTCTCATGTCGCATCGTCGTGCCGATAGCCAGGAAACTCTAGTTCTTGGGGAACGTCGCGATCGCAGCCCTCCACGGCCCCCCTCTATGGAGGAACACTTGTGTGCACGAAGCCCGGCTATCGCCCTGAAGGCCGAGTGCAGGCTCGTATGGACCCGAATGCGATGCGAAAACGAGTTGCATGGCATCGACACCGTACCATTTTCGACCTTCTTTGTGGAGTACATGAACATGTTCGCCAGTGGGAAGCAGATGCAGGGATCGAGGATTAGCAGAAGCCGTTCTAGACTTCGAGGGGGTAACGAATCTCGCCGCCGACTAGATGCTGTTCCGGCCCTTCCTCATTCCAATGGTGATGCTAGCTCGGCATTGGGATCGCTGCTCGCCCAGGAAGCGACAGACGGCAGCACCACTTCTTTATCGGGGGTGTCTTCCTTGTCTGCCCGCTGACGTTTTCTGTGACTTCTGGTCCAGGTTCGTCAAGTTGTGCTAGCCTGTCTTGTACAGTTTCTTCGGACAAGCCGGCCTATTATCATTACCTACTGCTGCTCTTTTCTTTTGCTGCTTCTGGAGACCGAAGTCAGGGACCCGAACCTTGTCACGATATCGAATCATAGGCTCCGGTTGACTGAAGATAACTTGTTTAGCCTCGAGGACTTAACCTGACAGGAAGAGGTTGACACAACGGTTTTTTAGCGGGCCATACATCATATAATTTTCGTTTTTATATAATATACATATCAGCTCGTATAGATTATAACTATATATATATATATATATAGACAGATATATAAATGACATTAGCCAAAAACCATTGTGTCGACCTCGTTCTTGTCAGCTTAGGGCTTAGGCTTCGGGTTAGTGATTAGTGATTAGATTAGTGGGTTTTGCCAACAATGCAAAGATACTAATACTAATATGAAAGTCACTCTAGTTTCAACATACCGGGAAACGGGTAAGCAGGACAGGCGAGGTCTAGATCTAAGAGCTGTTTGGCGATTTCAGGTCTATAGTGACTATAGTCTATAGTATAGTGTATACTGTCTATACTCTATAGTTAGGATTTAGGGTTTAGGGTCTATAGTAGTCTATAGTCTATAGGTCTATAGTCTATAATTTCTACAATAATTTGTCTATATTATATTCTATAATTCTATACTATTCATCGGTGTGCTGTGTTGACTACACGTATTCTGTTAAGGTTCATATCTCCCAGGCCCAGTGGCCCCCAGGCCTAGTCGTGCAGCGAAGCGATGCAGCAGGGATCAATTCCGATCTCCAGTTATCTGGGCATTTGTGATTTATGGGATTTGTGTGTAGTGGCGGCTTGCAAAATACAAAAGCCCGATCCGAGTCCGGAGCTGTGATATGCAGGCACTTGACAGTTGGCAACTCAACTTGTTGGATTGATTGTCTGACTATCGTAACCTTCGAGTCGTGTGCTGTGCAGTGTGGAGCAGCATGCTTTTCCCACGTGTCATGTAGCTGTTGGAGTTGCCGTGAATCACAGAGGCTTAACAGCTGACTTTGCTTGCCCCCGTAGGCCTCTCCTTTGCAGGGACATGCCTTCGATGAAAGGGCCCGATGCATGCCGGACCTGCCGTCGTTCGTTCAGCACGACATTGAATCCATGTGTGGCCGATCCGCAGCCTGACAACCTGTTGAAACGACGAGCAGCCGGGGCTGCTCAATGCAAGCCATGTTTCAATTTCATGATGGGTGAGGATCCTTATCGGAACATGTCTACGGAGGAGCGATATGCAGTTTGTGAAAGTGAAGAGGACCACAAAAACTTCATGGGCAAGCTCAACAACTGGGAAGAGGCGAGAAGAAAAGGAGAACGTCGTGCTCGAGGCACGGGTTCAGGCCGTGCGACTTGCGAAGCCGTCGATGAATCTGCTCTTGAAACCAGACAAGTCATGGGCTATCTATGGCCTGTTAGTTTATTGAAATCCCACAACAAGCCGGTGCCGAAGAAGTTGCAATCGATCCCGCACATGGGCCGCCAAGTCAAGGGGGCGATCCTGTCCGAGTTCGTCGTTGGTGCCATTGAAGTTGCGACCCAGTCTGCCAAAAAAGCGCGGAAGACGACATGTGTGATGGATGACACATCAGATCATGATGATCCTTCTGCGGCCTTTGCTTCCATGCAGAAATCGATCGCGATTTCCTCGGTGGCTTCGTCGGCGGAGGGCCAAGACATCCAGCTGCTGAAGTCCAAGACCAAGGGCAACACGGACAGCGATGACGAGATGGCGGCAATCTTGTGGGGTGACAGCACCATCGGTGGCTCTCTTTCTCGTTAATTTTGTAACTATATTAATTTGTGTTTGCGATGGATATTACATTCTCCAAATGCCTGAATCTTAGGAGTCTAAGCCCGATAATTCCCTAAGATATCATCCCAAAAGCATCCCCGCATTAAGTTCCTCGGACACCAAAAGGTTCAACAAACTAAACATTTACGGCGGCGAGGTTGGACTTAGGCCGGTACGGTATAGTGTAGTCTTAATTAGTAGGGTATCATATCGGTATAGGCGGTATAGGTATAGGCTAGGCTTAAGCTATAGGCTATAGTAGGCTATAGGCTAGGCTACAGCCATAGGCTATAGGCTATAGGCTATAGGTGGTATCGGTACAGGCAGTATAGGCTTGGGTGTCGGTATAGGTATAGTCATAATCTAGTCTATAGTCTATTGTCGGTATAGTCAGTATAGTCCGGTATATACGGTAATTAATTATATTATTATTTTATAAAGGGATATACAGCCGTTATGGTGGAGACGGTATCGGTGTCTGTGTAGGTGGCATCGACATAGGCGGTATCGGCCAGGCTAGGGTTCAGATTCTCCCGCACCGAAACCCCAAACCCCCAAACCACTTCGGAAAAGAATCAAGGCATCGTTTCAGAGTTTCAGGTCATGCGAAAGCCACAAAAGATTCGGATTCGGACGAGGACAAGCCCAAGAATCCCAAGAGCAAGAGAAATCGCACTCGTGGACGAGATAGCACTCCCACCACTTACAGTGGTGGCATTGGCGGCACATCGGACCAATCGATTCCTGGAGGCGACCTATCTTCATCGTCTGTTACTCCAAACATCCTTGGTGGCTCGAGCAACACGAATCCAGCTTTCTCCAGTCTCTCCACACTTCTGCCATTGCCATTGCCGCCCAAGTCTTCGAAGAAACGTGGCAACGAAGTCAGGGAGCTGGAGCGAAGCGAACAAGTGTGCTTGCAGGCTGAGCATTTCAAGGCTGCATTGCAAGATCCGAGCACCAAGCTGGAGCTCAGCAAAGTCCTCAAGCTTAAAGAGAAGATCCAGCAACGATTAACGGACGAGTTCACGAGCTCGTACATGGATGCCGTGCGAACACAAGGACCTGAATGCCGTGCCGCCCGTGTGTGGGACAATTTGAAGGACTCCTCTCGATTGGCTGAGCTGGCTTGCGACTTCATCGAAGCCTTGGCGGACCAGGAAGCTACTCCAGACACATTGTCGTCACGGGCAAGAAGTTTGGAGGAGCAGGCTTCAATCAAGCTTCCTCGCAGCATCACGAGTGCAATCTGTCGCAGGTCAGCAGAGGAGCTCACGCAGGCCGGCGACTTTGACAAGGTCATTGCATTCTTGGATCCAGCTGCAAAGCGAGACTTTCCGAATGGTATCGCCGCCGTCATGCCTGCCGAGGACCCCTCGAATCCATCCACACCCGCTTCAGTTCCAGATGATGTTCGGGAGTTCCAGGTCACATGCCTGGTCGCCTGCCTTACCCAATTGTGCATGACACCTATTCCGCCTGTGCCAAAGGACGGAACCGAGGACGAGAAGCTTGGCCAAAAGAGGCAGGAAGTGTTGAACGGCACGATCGGCAAGCTAAACGACTTCTTCAAAGTTTGGCAAAGCTCGTCTTTGTGCTCCCAGTTCTCCGAGGCGAAGCATTTCATTGTCGACGAGATGGCAAAGTTGGCTAGCCTCGTGACCGCAGCATTGAACACGACCCCGGCTTTCATGGAAGCTGCTGCTTGCGAGCAGCTGGAAGCTACGAGAACCGGTTTGCTGAAGGCCAAGGCGGGAGTCTTCTATACCGCGATCGCCATGAGCCCGATAGGGGGTGAAGTTTCTGCTCGTGTGTCACAGCGAGTGCAACAGAATCGTGCAGACGTCATTTTGTCCATGGACCTCGATTCAGCCTTCGAGATTGCCCAAGGTTTGAAATCCCTGAACCCAGAGAGCCTCCTCAAGACAAAGGACGGCGAGGTGGAGGTGGTCGTTCCTCACCAGCACAAGATCGTGGATATGGTTTCCAAGTTTGTGTGTTTCAAGGAGAAAGCGAGCAAGGATTTGCAGAATCGTTCTGTGGATCCTTTGACCTTCATCGAGGGCAAGATTATGGCATTGTCGTCTTCGCTGGAGATGCTGATCACTCAAAGATATACAAGTAAGTTCAATGAATGCATGTCACCATTGATGGCGGCAATGATGAAGGGTGCCTTGGGCGAGGACTCCCACAAGTTGTACGATATGGTCGTGAGCATGGCAACATATCTTCCATTGGGCAAACTTCCGCTTTCTAAGATCCTCGGAAAGGCTTCTGCCGAGGCTCTTGAGCGACGGCTAGCTGTCGTGACCACATACATGGGCTTGCTCAAAAATGGCTTTGCATTCATTGTGAAGATGCTGACCAAGGATTTCAACGAGGATCTGCTCTCGCAGCCTGTGGTCACAGAATTCTACACCAAGCTCCAGGACAAGGAGGCTCGCAGCCTGTTGGCAACCACGGCTCCCTTCCTTGAGACGTCCTTCAAAGCAATGCTCGATGCCATGCAAGCATGCCTCACCACTTGGCTCGGTCAAGTCGGTTCCACATTTGTGAAATTCCTGAACAAGCTTGCCGAGCCCGACGTGATTGTGGATACGGTTCGGGCCACCCTCCGGGAGGATGTCCTCGGAGCCTTCGATGTCAAGGCCGTCAATACCGAGGAGGCCGAGCTCGATTGGTTCTTCGCTTTCAGCAACTATATCAAGTATATGGGCACCCAGCAGGTGTTGTTGCCTGGCGAGGGTGTGGAGTCTAAGCATGTGCATGCCGCATATATTTGTGTGGCTGGTGCCTTGCTTCGCATCGCAAAGTATGTGATGGTGATCCTGAGCCAGGAGAAGGTGTGTCATGATGCTAAGGTGCTCTTGTTCAAGGAGATGTTGCATGCATTCATGTCGGCAGCGAAGGGGTCGTCCCCAGAGTGGGAGACGAAGATGTCTAGGTTGATTGGTTGCCAGCATGTGTTCGAGAAACTTGCTCAGGTCACCGGACTGTTTGATGACATGTTCGAACAAGCTTGCAGCATCACTGGTGGCATGGATAGTGTCACGGCATTTTACAAGGCCCTGCAGAAGATCACCGCAGCAGCGGCCTCCGAGTTCGTTGCGGCAATCGGCGCCGATGTCGCGAGCCTGCAGGATGCTGTGAACACCCTGTACAAGGATCTCATCGCCAAGAACGATCTTGATAAGATCTTCAAGTCGGACGTTTTGGACAAGCAGAGCATGCTCGCCCTATGCACCGATCCCAATATGCAAGGACTTGTTCTATCTTGTGCCAAAGCAGATCGCTTCTTGTTGGAGGTCGGGGGCATGCTTCCGCGGATGAAGAATTTGAAGGTGCCTCAATGGATGTCCGAATCGTCGGCTAAATTGATCTCGGCCCTCCAAGACGACGTGCAGAAGTTTCAGGCGATGGATGGTTCAGTGGACAAGGACAAGCAGGCTTGCAAGGTTTCCATGGCCACGGTCCGTTATGTGAACGGCTCCATGACACTCAGCCAGGCCTTGAGTAGGGATTTACAGCCGGGAGAAACTCGTATCGGACTAGTGGGCCGATGCCAAAATATCCTGGCTAAGAAGGGCATAGCTGTGGAACCCATGTTGTTGAAGAAAGTCTCCGCCATGAAAGGCGGCAAGTGATGTCAGCTGTTAGGCGAGTGGGGCGGGGCCTCAGGGGCCCAATTGCTTCAGGTGCATGGGGCACCGACCGTTTGCGAGCTGCAAGAACCTAACACATGACCCCCGGTAAGTAATGAATCCTTCGTAGGTCGCACGTCGGCAGGTAGCTTGTGCTGCATAATGGACAATGGACAACAAGAAAAGCAATAACAACAATCAACATCATCATCATCATCGTCGTCATCATATCAATGTCAATAACAGATAAGATTTAAGATAAGATAAGATAAGATAAGATAAGATAAGATAAAGAATGATGATGACGATGATGAAGATGATGATGTTGCTGCTGTTGCTGCCATCGCCTCTGTTAAGCCTTTGTTACCGTCGTTGTCGTCGTTATGGTGGTGTTTGTTTCTGTTGGTGGTGGCAATGCTTTGTTACCGTCATCGTCGTCGTCGTCGTGGTGGTGTTTGTTGTTGGTGGTGGTGATTGATGATTAGATGATTAGTAGTGTTGGCCGGGGCTCCTCGGTACGATGATTTAGCCCATAGCCGTAACCTTTTATAATAGTCATAGTCTATTAGTCTATTAGTCTATTACGATTACGGCTTTCATAGGCCTTAGGCCTTAGGCTTCGGGCTTTAGGTTTCGGTTTGGGCTTAAGCTTAGGGTCTTAGGGTGTCTACAAGGGGGCACAAGGACGATGAACCCCAACTCCAGACAGAACCTGCATAGTAAATAGATTCTATTACATATTCTGATATCCTATTCGATAGTCTACAGTCTATAGTCTATTGTCAATTGTATATCTATATGTCTATATTTCATACTTCAAATAAAATAGATTTCAAACCCCGAAACTTGCATGCTTGCCGTTTTCTAAGCAATGGCCCCTCCTTTTGTAAATTAGTATCAGTGTCGAGAATCGACATCGATCAGAAGGGAGGCTCGAGGCTGGCCGAAATGTGGCCGCACGGGGGACTTCGCATCACGAGAAAATCCGCTGGTCCGGATGTTGGAGGCCCAGGTCTGGCTTGTTCAGGGTTTGCCGGTAATTCTGGGAAGCCCCGTGCCCGGTCAAATCTAAGCGATCAGTCAGAAAAGCTAAGTGATAAATGGGCCCCAATTAAGTGGTAAATGGGCCCCAAATTAAGTGGTAAATGGGCCCCAAATTAAGTGGTAAATGGTCCCCCATTTAACTGGTAAGTGACAGAAAGTTAAGTGGTAAATGGGCCCACAATTAACAGGTAAATATCGTCTAAAGAAAACGTGTTAGAGCGGAGGCCCAACCTAAACCCTAATTCTTAACTGTTCACAAACAAAAACACACTGAACATGCTTAGCCTAAACCCTAAACCCTAAACCCCTGTGTTTAGGGCTGCAGCTGGGGCTGCCAGCTGCGGGTAAGGGCCGGGCAGGGTAGTCGAGACCGTCTGTGGCAAGCTGGCGGCTTCAGCTCTGAAAGTGCTCAAACCCGAAATCCTAAACCCTAAACCCCCTAAGCCCTAAATCCTTAAAGTCTAAGCCCCCTAAGCCCTAAATCCTTAAAGCCTAAACCCCCTAAACCCTAAATCCTTAAAGCCTAAACCCTAAACCCCCTTTACACCCCCTAAACCCCTAAATCCTAAATCTTGGCCCTACAGAAGCTACTTCCCTGAGCGGGGGCTGAGGCTTGGTCTCGGGCTGCTGGTGGTTAAAGACCTTTCAAGAAAGGGTTTAGGGTTTAGGGTAAAACGTTTGGGGAGTTTTCTAAACGAGGGTCCCTTTTTAAGTCCCCAATATAGTACGACACCCGTATAAAAAGGACCCTAAAAGGGACCCTGATTTAGAGAACTACCCTTTTGTCTGCAAGAAGCCCTAAACCCTAAACCCTAAACCCTAAACCGAAGATGTTAGGTAAGACTAAACCCTAAACCCTAAACCCTAAACCCTAAAACCCCCTAAACCCTAAATCCTTAAAAAGCCTAAAGACTAGCAATTGTATGTTCGGCATGTTCGGGCCCGCACGATCACAACAACCCCCAAGCACGACTTTCCTGGCCATTTTTGGGGGCTTCAGGGTTTATAGAGAGTTTAGGGTTTGGGGTTTAGGCTTTAAGGTGTGGGGTTTAGGGTCTAAGGTTCGAGTGTTTTCAGTTTGAGGGTTCTGGGCCGGACTGGAGCGTTTGGCCCGTCATCTGAGGCTTCTTGTGATGGCTCTCGGTGCCCTGAACCCCTCGGAGTCCAAAAACTCCAAACCCTGAACCAGGTTTAGGGCTTATTCGCGGTTTAGGATTCGGGGTAAGTCTCGATTTCAACCGTCACCAAAATTAACTCATTCAGGGCTCTAAGAGTATATATAAATACTCATTAAGAAACGAAAGGGAAGTTGAATAATATCCCAAATCGATGCCTACTACACTCTGTAGACCCGAATGTCCAAAACCCTAAACCCAATCCCCACACGGCTTGATTCCAAAGCTAACTGAATAACGAGGGGCTGGCTAGCTTGCTCACTCACACACCGACTGACTGACTGACTGCCCATCGGACTGAACTGACTTTAAGCTATCTAAACAACAAACCAACCAAGTAACCAGCTTGGGGTCTGATTGCCGGCAGGCCAGCCTGACATCATGACACCGCAAAGCCAGCCTCAGAACCCAAAGTTCTAAATCGCTAATCCGCAGCATCTCCGCATATATTAGAGGATATGGTCTAGTAGTGGCTGCGGCTTGGGACTTCCATGTATAGGACTGCCTTTGAGATCCTAAATCTCCAGATCCCAATCCTTAACTCTTAAACCCTAGCCTGTAAACCCGAAAAATGTATAGCAAAGGGGCCTTATAATAGTTCGAATGGGTTTTGGGGGAGAGGTTATATTATGCTAGATAGAGTTATAATAAGGAAACCCCCCAAAACCCTCTTCGAATTAAGAAGGCCCCGATCTTACCCCAAGCAACCCTTCAGCTTCCCAGGGCAGCACGGCAGTTCCTTCGAAGGAACGGAGTAGAAGGACGACACTTCGATGCCGGAGCAGTTCACGTCCTCAGAGCCTCAGGTAGGTAGGAGCTCGGGGTCCATGTAGCCAAACAGTAGGCTTGGGTTTAGGGCTTAGGGCTTAGGGCTTAGGGTTTAGGGCTTAGGGCTTAGGGTTTAGGGTTGAGGGTTTAGGGTTTAGGGTTTAGGGCTTTGGGCCCAAAGTACCTATATAGGGACTACTTTAAGGTCAATGTATATACTGTTCGGGTACATGGACCCTTAGGGTAGGAGCTTGGGAGTTTGAAGCTTGGGATTTGGGGTTTCGGGTTTAAGGGTTTAGGGGTTTAGGGTTTAGGGGTTGTAGGGTTTAGGGTTTTAGGGTTTAGGGTTTCTGCGTTTAGGGTGTCTGCGTTTAGGGCTTCTGGCTGTTAGGGTTTAGGGTTTGGGGTTTTACTGTAGGGTTTAGGCTTTAGGGGCTCCTGCATTCTGTGCGGGTTACCATGAAGGCTTGAGTTGAAGGTCGGGATATCTAGTAACAGGCTTCGGGGTATACAATAATACACTCTGTTCATATAGGAACCTAAGTAATAAAAAAAACCCGACCCCCTACGTTAGCAGTTTTTGGGGTTTAGAGGTTTAAAGCAGCTCCCTACAACAGCCCTGTCTCTTTTAGAACAACCCTACACCCGAAACCTCTTCTTAAACCCTAAGCCCGAAACCTCTCATTAAGCCCTAAACGCTAAACCCGAATCCTCTTAAACCCCTGAGCCCCAAACTCCCTAAAGCCTAAAGCCCCGCCCATCAGCTGAGAGCCGATCGGAGCAAGTGCAGCACTTGCTTTCGAATGCGATCTCGCGTGAATACCTGGGCTTCAGGCATTGCTGTTCAGTTTAGCCATAGGCTCCTTAGTAGTTCCTTTTTGGGATTACCTTATAGGATTCTAAGGATGAACCACAAAAAGGAACCACTTAGGAGCCTAGGGGCAACAGAAGGTTTAAGGTTTAGGGCTCTTTTCTTTAAGAGTGCTATGGAACTTTCTCCCCCCTGGCCTGAGCAAGGGCCTCTCAGAAAACACCCGGGTTCAGGGCTTGGGGGGACCGTTTCAGCTTCAAGACGGGATTGGAACTAGGGCTGAGCTTTAGGGTTTAGGGCTTCTGCACCACATGTCGCGACGCATGCCAGGAAAAGATTGCTATGTTATGGCTTCTGTTTGTAGCCATCCTTTCATCACGATTCTTGATGCCCCTAAGCCATAGCCATAAACCTTAAGCACCAAACCCCAACAATATGCCCTAAGCCCTATCATGGGACTTAACAACTGGGGTCTGGGGTTGTAAATAAGGTAACTATACAGATGAATGCTTGTAAACCCCAGTAAGGTAGAAGTACTTTAAGGTACGTACTTATGTGGCTTATAACCAGACAAGCAAAGTCCCATGATCCTCCAAGCAAACCCTAAACCCTAAACCCTAAACCCTAAACCCTAAAACCCTAAACCCTAAAACCCTGAAACCCTAAACCTTACTTACTAAGTCCCATGATCCTCC